CTGATATTTTAATTCATAGGAACAACCCTGAACACTATAGGTAAAACATTCAACCTTACAGAACATAAACTACCTTTTATACCAACAACAAAACAATCAAAGCAAGGATATTGAATATTTACAAAGCTATTTCATTCCAATTTCACATATCATCATAATAATTCATACACATGCAGTCAGAGTATGATGTCTGAAAGTCTTTGTTTTTTTTTAGGCAGACTATATATTTGAACATTATCAAAAAAGCAGTGCTAAAGAATATACCTTTTCAACCAGCAATTGACATAATGACATACTTACGAACTTATTTTCAGACTTACTAGCTTATTAGTATATAGCCATTTGTAAATATCACTGGGGGCCCTAATTTCTTCATGGTCCCAGAGTCATGCCCCTTTTATTTTCCTTGAGTATCTCACTAGATTGTGCGTCCCTAGCTACTGCACCGAACATAGTTAGAAAAATTTATTTGGATTGCTTTTTTCATATTTAGAGCTGCTGATGATGATAAGGTCAAAACAGGTAAAAAATATAGTCTGAAACAAAAAATTTCACCTCACTTAGTATAAATCCACTACTACCGCATACATTTGAAAAGAGAGTATAAAATATTTTTTTCTTACAACCTATCTCAAGTGTATTGGTGCTACCTTGTGCATTGTTTACATTATGTTAACCCTTCCACCAACAGAAGTCACATATCCGATTTGGAATTTTTGGCCTTTATAATATTATCTCTGCTGAGGTCATGACCCTAGGACCTGTTATTCAAAATGGTGCCGGGTAAACATCGGCACTTTGAATGAGAGTAAACAATCAATAAAGGCATGATTTTTCTAAACTATCAGTTCAATCGAAAGAAAAAGTATTTATAACTAAGGTCTGCATGAGTATGACTTAAGAAATGCATACATGTGATATGTACCGGCTGTACGCAAAATGTACAGTTTTTCGAGCCCATTCATCGTGTACCGGCGGGACACCAAAATTCACGGAATATGAAAATTTGTACAGTATTTTGAATTTCTCGCTAAATGCCGCCATTTTCCTCTCATTCTCGCTCGCGAGACACTGGAAAACGTCACCTGTGTTGACACTTGACCTTCTGATAATTGTGTAGTGTACACAAACCATCGCGTGCGAAGGTGTGAACTGCCAATTGGGATAATTATCTTGCTATAAATTCGTATCAAATACCCCTTTAGGTAGCTTTATTTTTTAAGAGGTACTTAATTACTGTTAAATGTTTCATATACGTAACTTGATTGAAAAAAATTAAGCCAACTTCTAAAGTTGATATACGTGAATCTGACCCAGATCTTCGTAGGTATAAAATATACGATGTTTATTACAATGATTACGATGGAATTTCATCAGAATTTAAGCGATATTTTATACCATTTTTTGTACCGTTTTTTGATAGGCAGTGTACAGTTTTTTCACCCAAATTCCAGTTTTTTTATGGCTCCTGTACAGTTTTGTGGTCTTTGACTTATCACATGTATGGAAATGAAACAAGTGTTTCAAATATTTTTACAAAATGGATACAATGAAATTAGGGTACGAGTCATGGACCTCCAAGGATAATTAAAACAACTGGGAAAAATCTTCCTCCTCTGTGCATGAAAGCTGCCTTCCCCCCCCCTACATTCAGCCTCATATTTTTCTGCTCGCTGACTGAATACAATCAACTGAACGTTCACCTACTTTCTCTACTCCTATAATTCATATTGTTATCCCGCATTAACCATATCAAACTTTCTTTAATTTTTTTTTAATCTGAAGTATGTACTCGCTATTTTCATTCCCCTGTGATTCTAAAAAATTCTGTCAAGTGTCACGGACTTCAATCACCATCATACACTTGGTGCAATATAAAAAGTACACATTACTTGATTCGTATATATCATAATTAAGTAATAAGAAATCACCAGTGAGGATCCATTATTGTGCAAGAGATCCAGAGGCAACTTTCTCTTTCGTCTTTATTTTCTTTGCAGCCAAAATGGCGGAAGCAGATGTAGTAATGACGTCAACCCGGAAGTGAAAGGACACATGAAGAGACCCAGGGACTGTGTCAAAAGTCTTTGTATCACACATCACAAAACCAAAAATAAATAATTTGTTTGTGCAATTAATTAAAACATCCAAAGTCCCGTGCATATCATTTAACAATAATGCTTTATTTATGTTTATTTATGTATCATTTCCTTATGGAATAGTTGGACATTTGTATAAAAAACTATCTGATTTATTCCTCCTTATTTATGTCTTTCTCCTATCAATCATGCGACTCTTTCTCTCTTGTGTGTATGTATACTGTATTACACGTATACGACTATATATAAGTGTTTACAATGTACTTTCTTTTTGACCCGCGAAGGCCCTTAATTGGTAAATAAACAACTGAATTGAATTATTTTGTTTTTACTCCGTCTAATTTTTATTATGATTAAAAAAATAGAAAGAAAGAAAAAAAAAGCGGAGAGGAATGAGTTTGACAAAAAATTATTATGAATAAACTGTCTTCCGTTACTAATGCTAAACAGAAATGTTCAGCATTTTATATACATTTTGTTAAGTCTGACTTAATAAAGAAAAAAATCAATATTATACGGCCTTATTCATGAATTATATTTTTGCATCATAGTATAAAACTTCTGTCTTCATTTATGAGTATATTTCATAGATCTAAAAATTTCCTTGCTTGAACCCAAGTTTATTGGTTCTTCATTTGCCTATTGCACAAAATTTAGACTTTTAAAAAAAATCAGTAATATTTAGACAATACAAGAATATAGAAGAATATATAGACAAGTAGTACAGAAAATATAAATGCATATAATAACACAGACATTAAGTTTATAACACAATAATTTAATTTTGCTTGTAAGGAGTCATTTGATTGGATAAAAAAATTAGTTTATATCGTATAACCTGTGTTGCCTACGTCACAATGACTTACGTCAAAAACGTAGTAATCCGCTTGACGTTACATTTAAAATATGTACAATTTGAGGGCAATTTTGAAGGAGAAATTGTCTTATTTTCTATAATTGATTAAGGAAAATCAAATTATAAGGAATGAATATAATAGCTACGCAAGTTATACTGGTATAACCTGGGCTGGAACAGTTTACACTTTTTTATATGAACCGCAATAAACGGTTAATAACTAGTGATTTACAAGGACATCACTTCTGTTCTATCTGCCAATACTTTCTTAATTTAATAAGTGTACCAACATCCTTACAACAACCCTTCTATACACACTTCTTTATCACGCGTTGTATATGTTGCAAGGCAAAAACTTGGCAAGAATTTTTTCAGCATCATACAGTATTGGGCACCCCAGCAGAAAATGTATAATTCCACTCTCAATGGATGTTTACACAACCTTAATTATACCTTCTTCAATAAGAAGACAGAGTTTTTCTGAAATGGTAATCCAAACATGATAAAATAATACTCAAAGAAAAAACTGCTTTTTGAACAAAACATAAAATGCACATTTAGGTGAATCAGTAATCTACTCACCCCAGGTTTGGTAAGCACAATCTCTCAACCTTTCTCTAAATATTCGAAGGAAAACATCAGCATGACCTGGGCCACGTATATATATAACCACACTTCGCAAAAAATACACATCGAAAAAGAATAAATTTGACACAAGTCGCCCAATCAATTTAAACGTTCACTATCTGCATTTATATGGCATAATATTTCAAAGCAGTGGCGAGGAATCATGTCTCCAAGGTTCAATTCTTACGACTGGCTTAGACATATTCTTATCTCCCATATTCACCTCTTACCATAATATTGGTTGCTTTTCTACTTACACCTAATACCCATTTCCAAAAATCATTGTGGACTGCTTCGATTTCTTCCTTGACCTCCAGACCCTATATTTCGGCTTCCATCTGCTAATTATTATATAGAGAGATGAAATATGGAGATAACGAACAGTAATCAAGCTCAAAAATCCATTGAAACAATACAAATTTGGAGCAGAGCAAACGCAAACCTCTAAACACATCAGAGATGGGATCAGGTTCCATGGAGGAGTTAGCATCCCCGGTCACACCGCCGTCATTTCCATAATCAAAAATCCGTAGACAATTCAGTTTGTAAATAATGGCCTAACAATTAACAAGATATGACTAATCATTAAAACTGGTATTTTATTTAAAAAAATTGTGATCGAAATAGTTTTACGCTTCATCGGTGATATTTTCATGATTAGCATTCCAAGTTGCGCCTGTGATAGAAATGTTACCAATTTAATAGTAATGTCCCTCTTAAATGCATTTTTATTTCTAAATGCAATTTTGAAAGGAGTAGAAGAAAACCGTTTTATAGCAGTTCATATTTACATATATCTGTATCATGTGCATATGCATTTTACAGATATTCCTTATACCATTGACGCACCCTGGTACGGATACCATTGACGCAACCTGCATGGTACAGATTGTATATTCCTTATAACATTGATGCACCTTGGTACCTTAGTACCAAGGTGCATCTTATAACATCTCATATCATTGATGGACCTTGGTACAGATACCATTGACGCATTCTGGTACAGATACCATTGACTCACCCTGGTACAGATTGTATATTCCCTATAACATTGATGCACCTTGGTACCTTAGTACCAAGGTGGCACGCATCTTATAACATCTCATATCATTGATGGACCTTGGTACCTTGACGGATGGTCAAAGAGTATACATTGAATATTGACCTTTAATTTAACTCTATTAGTCAAAACAATTCCATGTTTTATCTAATCAACTGTAATATTCATTATAATAAACATGTAGATGAAAAAATGTTCCAGTTTTTTAACATTAAAATAATGAAATGTGAATTATTTAAAAATACTGCAAATCTAGAACTAAAGGTGTATACGGTGAGATCAATTTTGGCAAAAATATTTCACAATGAAAGCATTCCTTTATATTCTGGCAAAGAAAAAAACAGAATCGAGAAAAGAAAAAAAATATAAAAATACTGAACGAATATGTTAATAATTTACTACAAATTTTGATAATTCCATTCACAATAGTTTACCATCTATTATACGTCACAGTGAAATACCGCTAAAAATGTAAGCCTTTATGTTTTTAAACATACATTATGTGTGATGAATAGATACATGTAATAATTTATCTGCGATAATACTATTTTTAATAAAACTGCAGTTCCTTAATATTCAGTACATAAAGACGTTTTTAAAAAGTGTCATCCCTTTCTGTATTCAAAAACGTCAGAGAAAAGCGCCATCCCTTTCTGTGTTCTATATAGTCTTTGAAAAGCGCCATTCCTTGCGTATTCATAATTAAGTGTCATACTTCATCATACTTTATCACGTATGTACACTGTATATGAAAACTGTCATCCCTCCTTGTATTCAATGGTGTCTGTGAAAAGTGTCTCTGGCGCCCACGAAAGCATAACCACTGCGTATCTATACCATATTCTGCGTCCATGTGCATTTACCATGGTAATCTCTTTACATTACTAGTATTTACACTGTGTACCAATCAACTCATTAACATTCAGATTTGTCAAAGTTCAAACACTTTTTTGCTGTTAATCTTAACAATGAAGTTAATAATACATACATGCATAAATATTACATACAAAATTATGCATGGAAATGAAAATAAGACAATAAACAAACATATTCAAGCCCACATGGAAGCTAATCTTGGCACTCCTTGAAGCTTTGGGTATGGACAACTCTGGTCACTTTTTCTTGTCATAGCCAATAGCGACACAAACTTTGTATACTGAGGAGTCGTTGACAATATCTAGGAGGAACTTCGCCACATCTCGCCGGGAGATCCACCCTTCGCTGTTTTCCAGGAATTGACGACCATTTTCTGCTTTAATAGGTTTCTCTGCCAACAAAGAAAAATGTATATACACTGAATTTAATTCAACAACTCGGAGACAGAAACATTGTGAAAGGGGTATATGTATGATGTATTTTAATGAGTATGAGAAACATTTTACTGTTTTCCTGCTGCTAGAGAACATTCAAAACACGTTAAATCAGGATGACAAACATTGTGTTTACGTCACACAGGGACAGAGTTCGATATACATGTATATTATAGTCTCAAAACTCAGATAATAATGTGAGAAACTTAATTATGTATATCATTATTTCTATAATGCCAGTACATGGAAACACAGTCAGCGTTTACCCTTTCGTCCTATTGACAGTACAGATACATATGTAGGACATTATATGAGAAAGACGATTCTGTATGTACAGATAGATATTAATGTGAGATATACCCGGTATATAAATATGAGACAGAAGATTGTTTTATTTTTCACCAGTACCTGTACTAGTTCCGTTAGTGAGCCCTGGAGCTCTGACTGTAGTGAAGTCGATATCTTGGCATTCCTGATTTAGATAGTCCTCCATTTCTCCAATATTTTCCAGTACTTTCCCAATAAACAACGGTCGTAGAATCCATTTCATAAGAAAAGGTTCGCCCTCTGTCACTGTGAAGAGAATTCATAGATTATGACACAAATTATGGATGGAAATTATGATATCTCTTGTCAGACAACACTCATTTAACCAGGGTAAAGTTGCCTTTCCCTAACAAAGTTACACCCGGGTTGGAGATAAGGTGGTCCCCAACCCTCTTCCGCATTAAATAAACCCTAGCTTTACATCCCTGTCGATACAAATCTTGGTAACTGAGGACTATAAAAACAAACTGATTTTTATGTTAGTCCTATGTATTTATAATACCTGCGCTACCCCAGGATGACATGGCTATTAGACGCTTCACTCCCGATTTCCTCATCGCCCCCACTATACTCCTGATAGAGTCCGTGTAGAGGGTACATTTGTTCCTCCCGAACAAAGAGCCCCCACCGGACCCTCCTAAACACGATACAACAGCATCAGATCCCTCGAAATGTGGGGCCAATTCACCCCCTTTAAAGATGTCCACTTTACATACCTGAGGAAAAAAGTATTGGATCATCAGTGTTAGTGTTTAATGATTTCTCCACTTAATTCAATCTGTAGCGGGGAACATCATGCGCCCCGTCCAATGAATTAAAGAAATTCTTAATAAAAGCTATGTAATTATACTCTGTATCTGCTGCAGATGGTGCCTATGTCTCTCAACTAATTCGGTACGTAAGAGCATGTTCTGAGAACAATCAGGTTTTCTTAATCGAGACAAGCTACTGGCAAATAAGTTGATGTTACAGAGTTTTCATCAATTTCGTTAAAAATTCAGCATTTCGCAGATTCTATGCACCGTAATGATGACATTGATTGCAAATACATGTAAAACATATCTTTGGGTCGTGTTTTGGCTGACATGTTGTACTAATTTTGACCACAGATTAGTACTAGTATTAGCTTTTCAATAAAGAGGGCTTACGGCGGATGTGACTGGTCTGCAGGGGATGCTTACTTCTCCTAGGCACCTGATTCCACCTCTGTTTTTGTCCTTTTCACGTTTTCCTATTGTTTACCGGATTCATGAGAATAATGACAGTTCGTTATCTTCATTTTTTTTTTTCATTTCAATAATTTGTCTGGCTTTCTCCACTCAACAGAAAGGAATGCATATTTTATACGGCATTTTTCTTATGTCGACGAAAGCTAAGTCTGTAATGTACATTATTACATTAATTCATAGATGAAGTGCGTGCATACGCTATTAAAGATTCTGGGCTAGAAAAAGGTAATAGCTTTGATAAATAAATATATTATAGGAATTTGATCAACTTTGATGTTGCTTATGGTTTATTTCTCAGTCTTTCTCCGATGCCGCTTCCTCCTGTTGTCGGTTAGAAGTCAATCTGAAGGGTTCTCAAACAAGTACAGTAGTATTTAATCTTAAAGAGATAATAAAACTATCATCCATATTGTATTTAATTCAGTAATTTTAAGTATATTTTTTACAAACATATTTTCCAAGGTCGTTTTCATATCTTGTTTACCATTTAAAAAGCAATGAGAAACTCAGTTTGTGATCGTGTTTATATATAGTGGGAGGACTATGCGGATACTTAACCGTATATATAGAAACTTCTTATTTAATAGGGTAGTTTTATAACAATTTAATACATGTACATCAAAAATACAATTCATTTATATATAGAATACATAATTTTTGAAGATGGGATTTATGACAATAAGAATCCACCCAAGCCTCGTTTAAAAGTTTTAACTTAGGAATTTATCAATTATGCAACCTAATTTTACCTGTAGTTTATCGTCCTTCACATTCAATTTATCTGGGTTCCTCACCAGGGCCACGACGTTGTATCCTCTCCCCAAGGCCTCTAACACTGTCTGTACCCCCGATGGACCAGTAGCGCCCAGCACAGAGATTTTCATCTTTTTACTGCTTATCTAAATATTATGTTTTCCCTCGAAAACGCATTGTAAAACGATCCTAATCTTTACGCTCTAGATAAAATGACGTCTACGGGGGTACGACAGGACAATAAATGTCACTTTACATTAATTAATTTTTTTTAAAATCTTAATCTGGTTTCGTATTTAATGCTAGACACTTCCACATATGATACTCTGTCCATTCTTCTTTGGATAATACTTCTAATGGCGGGTACAATAATGCAACGCTTTTAATTTGTTTTTTATTCTTGAGTTTTCATACATCATCCTTGATTGATAACTTCTTTTCTATGCAGATCTCTGTAAGTTTATTAACATTGTACTTTCATATACATGCCAAACTTTTTTCAGAACAAAAAGAAAAGAAGACAAATGGTAATTTGCTTTGTTATTTAACAAGACCAAACTGACAGCTAGAAAAATAATTTATGATGTCGTCTACAGATGTACATGTAAATCAAATGTAGATTCTAAAAAAAAAAATCCAAAGAACTTTTAAAAAATCTAAAATCTAAATTTTTTTTCAAAAACCAGTAGCATCATATGACTTTTCTACTTTTTTAAAAAATACAACCATTCCTAACGATAAATTAAAGAGCAGGTTTTTGACATCATAGACAACTGCTTCCTCAATGAAAATGGAACCCGTAAATTTTCATATCTTGTGATTGGTCATCTACAAAAAAAAATTGTTAAGAATCATTTTGATTTTACATACATGTACATGTATATAAAGTTGTTATTAAAAAGATGCTGGAGTTCCTCAATAACAATGTCTATGTAGTCATTAGAGACCAGATCTTCTAACACTCTGTTGGAAATCCGATGGGCACTAATTGTCCTACTTTCATAGCCGACCTGTTTTTATATTCCCATGAAGCAGAATTTATTTTTCTACACTGACGAGAAGAAGAAAACTTTTGCTGTGCACTTCAACTCAATATTTAGATATGATGTAATCCAGAGAACTCGAAATAAAAGACACTGCAGAGTCTGCCAAATCTGTTTCATATTTGGATGTTTGACTGACTTTAGACGACAATGGCCAACTCATAACTAAACTGTATTACTTCAGTTTTTCCTTCATCAACTTTCCACATTTATGTAGTAATATTCCAACATTACCTGCATATGTTAATATGTATGCATATCCCAACTGATTTCATACGCAAGGAAATGCTCTGAGTACGATCAATTTTCAAACCGAGGCAAGCTACTGAAAAATAAGTTGATGTCACAACGAATTCAACAACCCCGTTTAAAATAAGCTTTTTCGCAAATTCTACGGTCGTTATAATGACCTTGTTTGTAAATACAAACCATCGTTAGTCTTATTTTGTCTGATATGTTTCATACAAAATATTAGATCATTGTTTTTACATTAAATTTGATTACGAAATCCTCCTAGGCCCCTGATCTCTAGTGTTTCCAGGAGACAGTGTTTTTGCTCTGATCCCCTGTTCCCGTTTCGGTTTGTTTACTGGACTTATGACACTGATCACTATTCATTATCTTTACTGTTACATTTTAAAATTGCATCCTTCTGAAATTTTAGCCCAGAATTTGCATTGTACTGCAATGATATTTAACAGTGAAATATGGAGATAACAAACAGTATTCAAGCTCAAAGTCTATATAAACTATACAAATCGGGAGCAGAGCAAACACGGATTTCCAAAAACATCAGAGGTGGGATCGGGTGCCATGGAGGAGTGAGCATCCCCTGCCGACCGGTCACACTCGCCGTGGGCTCCTTGTCATGATCGGAAACCCCCTCCCCCCGGAAAATCCGTTGATAATTTAGTGTATAAATAATGGCCTAAGAATTTGTTTGAAAAACGTCAGTCAGCATTTGACTCAACGACAGGCTGTATTTGCTGACAAGGTCATTGTATCGACCAAAAACTTGCGAAATGATGACTTCAGACGAGACCGTTGATGCCCTTGTTTCATCAACTTGTTTGTCAATAGCTTGTCTAATTCTGGAAATTGTTCATACGTAGAACATGCTCTAATTGTGTATCGAATCAGAGAGACATAAACCTCATATGCAGGTGATAAGGGTATATTGCTACATAAGTAAGGAAAGTTGACGATTGAAAAGTTGAAGTCATCACCTTTATCATAAATCTTTGTTGTAAGGTTACCATTAATTAACGTCTTTTTCGAGTAAAATATCCTCTGTGGTATCTTTTATTTCAAGCTCGCTGGGATATATCGAATCGACATATGAATGGAAGTAACTATTAACTATTGTCAATTGATAATACATCGTCGATATATCGAAATGTCGAGTTAAAGGCCACAGCAAGTGTTTTCTTCTTCTCATGTAGACGTTTTTGAATAAATTCTGCTTCATATGAATCATTCTTCAAACCTAAATGCAATAGCACATAAAGATAGACACGCCATATAATATAAAACAATGTAAGATGTAAACATTAAACATAAGAACAAGGATGAATTTTGCTAAAATTTATTCCTCGGTCCCCAACACCTGGTAAAATCTGGATTACTTGATTATTATTTCTGAGAGTGTCTTGTCTTAGAAATTTACTTCTTGAATGTCAGTATACTAGAATAAAGGTCAAAAGAATCTGGGGGGATAAGACGAGCCATGTGCTCATGCCCATTTTTTCGGCTATGCAAGAACATTTATTGGAAAAAAGCTCTCAATTGTTCGAATTTACTTAAGCATTTTAATGTTTACCGTAGTTTTCAAAATGATATTTATATTCTAAACAAGCTAAACAGTTGACTTTCATTTACTGTCACAAATGTCTAACATGGGTAAGGACTTCTATTAATTAATCTGCATATTGAGTGTTTACACTTATTGTGGAGATATTATAAAAATGTTAACATCGTATATAATGATAATGGTGATCTAGAAGCGCTTTTATTTAAAATAAATAAAACGGGAATAAAAGTATTCAAATATCTATTATAATTTTTATCCGGCAATTTAAATAATTTACTGTAAATAAGTTCATTACTAAATGTATATATTTTATTTCCAGTGAAAAATATGTTATTCCTATAGACATTTTTTATGAAGTAAAACAAAATTAAAACCAAAAAAATCAACAACAAAAAAAAATCAAAAAATCAGATTATGACTGGAACACTTTCCTCAATAAACGTCCCTTTTAAGAGCTCCTCGCTAACCACTAGACCACGGAGTCACACTAACATGACTATTTAAATAGCATACAGTTCTCTATATTTAGCAAGCGTTTTTGGACTTAGAATTTTTTAAGACCACGGTGAAAATTTAAGTAAGTTAACTTAATTTTTTATGTAGAGTGGGTCTTCATACCAAATTTTTGCAAGTGTAAAAAGCAACATCTTTCCATTGCCTTTCATTAATCGTTCTCAAAAAAATGGTACGATGACCCACTCTATTTAAAAAATGTAGTTATATCATCCATTTTATGTCAGTTTCTATGAAAATTGAGCGTGATGCCATTTTATTGTGTTAATCAGAATCACTTTCGCTGTTACAGTATTCAGGTTTTGTCAAATTTATATGCAACTGGTAATAAGCATTACATTAATTCAACAAAAAGGGAAATTTTTGTAAAATGAATTTATTGATTTTTTATCGATCGTTATGTAGGCATATGGCTCGGCTTATCCCCCCAGTTTCTTTACCGCTAAAATTCTAAAATAAATTTTCGGCATTTTTCATTGCATAAATTGAAGAAAAATGAGTTTAAAATTTTGTTCAATTTTCAAGTTCTGTGTCATTAAAATGCTATTTACATGTAATGTTATAGGAGTAAATGTAAATGGTGCTAGCCTATATCCAGATTCCTGCCTAAATATACCAGTATATATATGATGAAATCAAAAATAACACTATATTTACCCATGTAACAACCCTTAATGCTAAATAGAGCCTTTCATCGTTACCTTAACTTATAATAAATATAAAATTTACAATTTTAAGAGAATCACTAAGGACATTGTGAATGCATTATTTTGGACTCGTGTCGCATTCCATTCCTCATTAACCTCATTCAGTATGATTATATATCAAATGACAGCTCAAATCCAATAATTTTTATACAGAAGTGGGATACCTTGGTGCATGTACATATTTGTTAATATTTTATTGGTAAATGGTTTATTCACTCAACAATGATATATACAACGTCGTGTTAATGAGTATAATTTTATGCAAAATGAAATAAATATTGAAAAATCAAAGAAAAGTATAAATGGTATGTGTCTATAGTTTGTACCTATTCCTTTCTTTCTACTGGGACACAGGGCTTAATGATATAGAAAGTATAGTATCCTCACTGTCGCAATCTGACTGAGCTTTTTATGAAGTAAGACATTTACAAAGTTTTTGCGCCTCCCATTTTCTTTTTTAAAACGAAGTGTTGCAGAGTAAATTTGATAAAATGAATACTTTCAAATAAGATACAACGGTATGTCACAGATTGAAGAAAAGGGCATTGTGGTTTATCATTCTAGAAGTATTTTTAAACCTTTCAAAATTGTAGGTAACTTTATAGGGTTCAATCCCTTTAAAGACTTGCCACTACAGTTGAGATGGTATGAATAAAGTCCATCAGTACATCACTTGAAATCTGTATGATTTTATTCGTTATCCTCTAGAATTACTCAAGTATAAAACACAGTGGTTGCTTGTGAACTAAATACAGTCAAATAGGGATGGGTATCGCCAAAAATTTTCGTATCGCGATATATTTAGATTTTCCCCTAAAAGATCATACATGTATTTATTTACATAATACAAAGCATGTTTGGGTGCTAGGATGCCGTTCTTTTACAGTTTTCAACATTTTTTTTACACTTCCTGTAATTGTATTTTAAAATTTTGAACAAATTAATAATTTCTGGAATTTATAATTATGTACCTAAATACCGGTATTTTAATCTCCGTATCATGATACGTATCACGCAATTAAAAATCATGATATACCGGTATATTGATAAGATCGCGAATCCCTACAGTCAAACCTCGTTATCTTGAATTTCACGGGACCAAGAAAATATTTCGAGATATCTAAGGATTCGAGATATTCAGGGTAAAATACTCAAGAAATACGCGCTTGGGACTTCAAAATCATTTTGACATATCCATGGTATTCGAGATATCCGTGTTTGAGAACCGAAGTTCAACTGTATACAAGTAATATATGAGTAAATTTGGTTTTGATACATAATAATAATTAAAAAACAAGGTTGCAATTCCAGTATACCCCTCGCCCCTATCACTTCGTTTCAGGTGTGTTCAGAAAACAAATCCACAAGGAAAAAAAATACAAGATTCTGATGACACAGACCTATCTGCATATCTGTCATATTACCCCACTTTTGTGATGTGTCTTTTGAAAGTGAAGAGAGTATAATTAACCAATAGCTATATTAATTAAATATACATGTATTTTATTCATAAAAAATTCAATCTTCAAATAAAAAGTTAACAATAACAAATTGCATAATTTATGAAAGCCTTAGAAATGAATTACAATATGTATACATGTATAAAAGAGTTCAATAGGTTGACAAACACTCTTAAAACCTCTTGAACAAAGATCGTGGTGCAAATTTAAACCATCAAGGTTTATTTTTCCTTTTATAGTCCTCTATTTAAAAAAAAAAAACACCCTTTCCCAATTTAATTCGAGAAAGGTGTCTATTTGGGAGGGGAATATTTAATCTTACACAATTTTTATCCTCAAAACAATTTTTTGTATTTGTTTACTATAAATGTGTCATCATATTAAGCTACATGTATGACCTTTATGTAACCTTGGACATAAACCAGAAGCATTATTCATATAATTAGGTCGGATGTAAGCATATCTTATCCAATAATAGATGCACTCAAGTTTTTGTATACGAATGACATGTATAAGGCACAGGGGATTAAGGCAATAACCTCTATACAATGGCCAGTGAATGAAAAATGCTATGGTCACTTTTTCTTGTCATAGCCAATAGCGACACAAGCTTTGTATACTGAAGTGTCGTTGACAATATCTAGGAGGTACTTGGCCACATCTCGCCGTGATATCTGTGTTTCACTGTTTTCCAGAAACTGGCGCCCGTTTTCGGCTCGAACGGTTTGCCCTGCAAATAATTAGAACGCTATTATTCATCAGGTTTATTCATGTATGATCACCATGGGCGGATCCAGGAATTTTCTAAGAGGGAGAGAATGTGCATGTCCCCCTCAAATAAAATCCACACATAAAATCCCTCTTTATTTCTTTGGGGAAAGGACCTTTTAACACTGCTTCATATAAAAGATCCCTTTTACCAACTTTATTACAAGGGGTCCTCATTTAATTTCTGAAGAGGTGGGACCCAAGGTCATTTTTTCAGTTACTTTACTAAATAAATATGTTCATTTAATAACCCTGAAAATCCGGGGTGGGGTGGGGGGTCGTGAAATAATGGGTGCAATCAATTTGCAGAATTGTAATTTACATAACGGCTTATTATTAAAATATTAAAACAAATTACTACATGATAAGCTGCGACTACCGCGACTACTATACTGTACCACTGTTGACTTTATTTCCCATAAATTATTTAGTTTTAATATGAAATGTCATTATCTTTCGATCCTGACCTTACCTGTACTGGGTTGGTTTGTGAGCCCAGGTGGTCTAACAGAGGTGAAGTTGATATCTTGACATTCTTTGTTCAGGTAATCCTCCATTTCTCCAAGATTCGTCAGTAAGTTTCCGATAAACAGGGGTCGAAGGATCCATTTTATGATAAACGGTTCGCCCTCTGTCACTGCGGAAAAAAAAGGACCGAAGTTCGGAAAATGCACAAATCTGATTTTATAGTCAGAAAGTTTTCAAATATTTTTCCTTAGTGTACTTTTTTTCAAATTAGAAGGCTGTTCATTTTCTCATGAACTACCATGGATGAGCATGAATATCTCCATTGTTACGTCATAATACCGTACTTGATGTCAAAACTATAATGCAAACTGTTTTGCTTTAAAAATGACAGTTGAATGGCATAATTTGTGGTAACTCATCAGAAAATAATGTAAATATAAGAAATGAATTTAATTTTAGAAGATTCATGAGGTACATGAACTACGACGCTTAACGCCGGCATATTTATCATGAAGCGCTAACGCGCTTCATGAAATATGCCGGCGTGAAGCGTCGTAGTTCATGTACTCATGAATCTTCAAAAATTAAATTCATTTCTTAAATATATCGTCAAGTTTCCTCAACAAGTTCACTATACCTGCGCTACCCCAGGCAGACATTGCTATCAGACGCTTGACTCCGGACTGTCTCATTGCCCCGACTATACTCTTGACCGAGTCCGTGTAGAGAGTACATTTTGTCCACCCAAACAAAGAGGCAGAGCCTCCCAGACAAGACACGACAGCATCCGAGCCCTTAATGTGGGGAGCCAATTCATCCTCCTTAAATATATCCACCTTACATACCTATACAGAGAAATGTGTCAGATTAATAATGCGCCAGAGAGAGAGAGAGAGAGAGAGAGAGAACCTTTAATTGCTATTGCCAGTACGCTTCGAAAATTTTGCAAAAGTTTACGTGCTTAAATCTTAATTATGTCGTGGTTCCAATCCTATTTGACTGAGTCGTATTATATTTCTCTCTCTCACACTCACACACATGTATACACACTCAAACCTCTATTAAGTAATCGTTGATTAATTTTACCTGTAGTTTATCGTCCTTCACAGCCAGTTTGTCTGGGTTCCTCACCAGAGCCACAACACTGTATCCTCTCTCCAAAGCCTCTAACACTGTCTGTACCCCCGATGGACCGGTAGCACCCAGCACAGAGATTTTCATCGTTCACGTACGACCAATATTATATATTTTCTATCAGGTGAATCAAATCTATGGGGGAAAGGCAGGGACAATATTAGTCAATTGCAATTGCAACACCTTGAATGAATTTTACAGTGGGGGATTGGAGGGTTGGGCAAATATTACCTGATTACAGTATCAGATAATAGATAAGATAATTTTATTTTCCAATTTTGGGCCCAGAAGGCATACAAGCTCTTTACAATGAAAAGATAGAGAGTTCTGGATGAAAGGTTGCATATATACACACAGATAAACACCCACCCACCCACCCATATATATATATATATATATATATATATATATATATATATATATATATATATATATATATATATATATATATATATATATATATATATATATATATATATATATATATACATAAGATATAATCCATACAAGTAACTTAAGGTTATCAGTAACAGTATCATCTGCAACAGGGTTTTTTTTAAAGCATATAATAGCGACATGCCTGACGTCAGAATATCAGCTTTCAGGGCTGGTATTGATCTGCAGGATATTGATCTATAGGGCTGATATGGATCTGCAGTGCTGATATTGATCTGCAGGGCTGATATATCTATAGGGCTGATATGGATCTGCAGGGCTGATATTGATCTGCAGGATATGGATCTATAGGGCTGATATGGATCTGCAGGGCTGATATTGATCTGCAGGGCTGATATATCTATAGGGCTAATATGGATCTGCAGGATATTGATCTGCAGGGCTGATATTGATCTGCAGGGCTGATATTGATCTGCAGGGCTGATATATCTATAGGGCTGATATGGATCTGCAGGGCTGATATTGATCTGCAGGGCTGATATATCTATAGGGTTGATATGGATCTGCGGGGCTGATACGGATTTTTATCACATACTTAGTAATAAATACAAGGTTTTTAATATTTGCATATGCGATATGTCTGACTTCACAGTAGCTGTATCAGCTTCCAGGGTTGATACGGATCCTACAGGGCTGATATCGAGCTGCAGGGCTGATACGGGGATTGTATCACACCCCTTGCGGATTAGACATTTGAAAAACAGTTCTTGTGATAATACACATATTTTTTTTCGTTCGTATTCTCTGAAAAAAATGTTTTGATTTTAAAATACTGTTATTTGATTTAATAATTTAGTCGATGATTATTTTATTTTATATATTAATTCATGTAATTAATTCATAACAGAAAGCATAATGAAAACAGTTTTCAAGGGAGAATATCACATTGTTATCTGTGCTGGTAAAAAATGCATCTATTACCAATCTAAGAGATTCCTCTTTAGAATGTTTGTTTAGGAAAAAACGCACTGATTAATTATGGAAATTCTATAAAATTATTTATAAAGAGATAGAAATATTACAATATGCAACAGTTAAAAATAGCGGGTGCAAATGTCATGTCAAAAGTTATTAATAATTATCATCATTATTTTTATCAACAGAAGACAGAAGTCAATGTTTGCGGCATAACATTGGTTCAGATTGAAATGTCTATACAGTGGTCTCCTGCGCTCAAACTTCTGTCAATATAACTAATTTCATGGGAAGTTTAATTAATCTTCCCAAGAAAATCATTGTAATTGTCCGATAGTTGTCTCTCTTATCAGAGGGTTATTCCACCTTAGCAAGTTTTAAATGATCAAACTATGACTTCCACATTATTATTACGGGTGCTCGGATCATAGGACCCGCTTCTTCCAACGGATTCGAATATGTAACGAAGATCTTCCATCCCCCCTTTCCATTGTGCTCAGTGAGAAAAATCCATATTCTGATAGCTTACAATAAATTCAGATAGCTTACAATAAAGATTTCATTGGGTCTATCAACGGGACGTAGCTTACAACGACTCAGGCACGTAGCATCGGGGAGGGGGGGGGGCACTTTTTTCCCAAACGTAACCATTTACTATTGAAAACTTTCATTGAAGTGGCAGTTGCTCTCCATTTTGTTGCAGTGTAGTCAAATCAGTATGTATTAATTAATAGTGGAAAAAGTTGGACACCCCCACCCCCTTCAAAGAAAGAGGATTTTTTATGTTTCGGACATTTTTTTTTGGGGGGGGGGGTATTCTTATCAAAGATTTTTTTTAAATTTTTGTCTGGCTGTCCCCCTTTCAAATATGATATTACGTGCTTTATTCCGTACCTTAATGAATCGTTGATAATTTTTCAAGATGTTCTTTATTTAAAATCATAGTACGATCAGATGATCCTAGGATCCCAGGAAATGAAAAAGAAAGCTTTTAAAAAACCTTGGATTCAGAATTCATAGAAGGTTTTTCTCTAAGGCTAAGAGTGCTAGTGATTTAATTACCATCTTTCATTTTTCAGCATATTTTGTGCATTTTGTAAATTTGATTTGTGTGCGTATTAATTTTCCTTTTTGTACAGTGTTTTATGTCCCGAAATGACCCTCTTACTTATATTATTATACTCGGGATCGGCATTCATATGACATTGATTTCGTAAGAAAACAACGCAATGTGGTTGTGATTGAACTATATTTCGGCGTAAAAGCTCTTATACAATGAACAGAAAAGGATAATCATTAAATGAGAAAAAATGGTAAGATAATTTCTGCACATAGTGGTGTTGATTATTCGTATTTCTTTATTAAACTATTGAAATCGAAAACGTGAAGCTTAACTCGAATGTCCTCAGACTGTATATTGCTTTTCTTCGTGTTACTATAATTGATAATTAACTTATTAAATGTCTGTCCTTTCCCCATCTTTATTTACAGTTAGTTAGTCATTTATTTGAGCACGATCGTTAACAACTGGTTAAGTTGTGGATTTACCGATGATGTTGTGGGTTCAAGGAAAAAATCTTTCTTTTAAAATATTCTTTGTTGAACTGTTTAATTCTTATAATATATATCTAAGGAGAACAAGGCAATTTGCATCAAATTTAGGCTTATTTAGCTCACCTCAACAAAATACTGATGAGCATATGCTATATCCTCAGGGTCAGCATCCTGGTAAAAGTTTTTAGGAACAAGTCCATTCCCTAACTATCAGCCCTTCCTAGACCAAACAATTTTCTGAATGAGTGACCAGGTTTAAGTTACTTGCTGCTGGCAAAAGTTGTTCAATAGATGTCTCAGTTCTTTTATTTAAAGCGACTGTGACTGAGACTGTGAGCATTAATTCAATCCTGATTTATAAATTGGCAACTTGTTACTCTTCACGACCGCTACAGTTAGTCGATTTGATTTATTTAATTAGTCAAAGTGGAAATTTTAACAGCCAGGCATCAATACAAAAATTTGTAAATATGTGTGGCGGTCAGACGGGTTCGATCGCCGGTGGCCAGATAGCTCAGTTGGTAGAGCACCTGACTGGAGATTCAGGGGGCCCGGGTTCGAATCCCGGTCTGGTCCGCTGCATTTTTCTCCTCTCCCGTTACATTTGGTGCCGTGCCATGCCCTGGAAGTGACAGGTGAAAGACCTGCCAGGGAAGAGCCTGGGTTGGAGTCTTTGGGGGGCCAAAGACCTTTAAGGAGGGAGGAATGTGGCGGTCAGACGGGTTCGATCGCCGGTGGCCAGATAGCTCAGTTGGTAGAGCACCTGATTGGAGATTCAGGGGGCCCGGGTTCGAATCCCGGTCTGGTCCGTTGCATTTTTCTCCTCTCCCGTTACATATGTTTACCCACTGTGAAATGTATGCATCTTTTGCATTCAGGCACACAGTTATTTTAAACACTGCTTATATAGAAAACATGTCAGAATGAACTTTATAATCTTTGATTACTCATACTGAATTTAGTTAGAGGACTTTTTAGCTATAACTTAGAATTTCTTAGTGTTGTTCATCCTTCATTGGAAATAAGACATGTAGGTTCATTTAGTTCATTTGCATATTATGATATTATTTTCATTTTTTTTAATGTTCTTTTTCTTGGTGGGTGGGAGGGGTGGTATATTTTCAATTCATGTATTTGTATGTTATTACTTTCAGAGTTCAGCAGTTATTTTAGCTGGGCTTGGTATGGCTGTGGTGGGATTTGGTGGTAAGCATATACATTTGTTTGTCACTTGGAAGATATACAAACTCAGATTTTATTTACAGTCAATCCTTGTTATCTCAAACTTGATGGGACCGAGAAAAAAAAAATCTGAGGATTCGAGATATCAAGAGTAAAATACTTAAAGAATAAGTAGTCGAAACTTCCAAATCACTTTGACGTGTCCATGGTATTCAAGATATCAGTGTTTGAGATACCAAAGTTCAACTGTATTTTAAAATTGGCTCTTGAATTATTTTATCGATGGTAATTTTTTAAATGACAAAACCCAAGAATTTTTATCATTAAATATTCTTTTTCATATTTTTTCTATGAAATTCAGTGGAAGAACATATCTTTTCAACAGGTAGATACCTAGCCAAACATGCTCCTGCCTTTGGTGCCACTGTGAAAAAATCCATGGATGCTAGCCTCAACTCAGGGGTAAGTGTGATAGTCCCCCTCCCACCTTAATAATGATGTCTGTGTTCATAAAATACAAAATGAAACTACTGGAAACATAATTTTTTCATAATTCTGTTGAATCACAATTTCTATTCAATCTGTGGGTAAGAAAATTATGCAGATTTTTTTGGATTGTTATTGCATGTCCTTAATGCATTTTAAGTACACTGTGACAAATTTCAAAAGAAAAATTGTGACTGCGTACATAGTGTATATTAATCCCACTCAGAAAAATATATGTTTACAGTATTACTTTCTAACAAATGTTTGATATCGATTTATTTTTTACTGTTTGGATATTGTAAACATTTTGCACCTGTAGAAAACAATAAATTTCAAAAATCTTATTACTAGTATCAAATTACAGAATGTTTTCATCATAAATTCCAGGCTTTCAGTAAATACTACAAAGGTGGATTTGAGGCCAAAATGTCAAAAAGGGAGGCAGGTCTCATACTTGGAGTAAGGTAATGTGGCATCTCCTGTTTTTACCATTCATAAATATTTTGAATTATCAACCTCTCTCTCTTTCTCAAAAATAAACACTACAATGAAAAGAGTATGTTCACTTTATATATGTATATGTGTGTATTATAACATTGTGTATTTCTTATAAAAAAAAAAATTAAAAATAAAAAAATTGAATTATTTCGTCAGTTATTAGTTTAACTGTTTAATGTGTTTTCAAAATGGTCTGAAAATTACGTTTTTTTTAAAAATTAACATTATTTTGCAAATTTTAATAAATTTGGGTTGATTAAATGTCATCAAAGTAACCTGAGTTTTGTGACTTTTAGAAGGTACATGTATTTCCAAAGACTCTTGTTGTAAAAAGATTAGGGCATGCATGTGATATAGTAATTGTTTTGTATGAAGTATTTAATTTTTTGTGCAGCCCTTCTGCCAACAAGGCCAGAATTAAGGAGGCCCACAAAAGGATAATGATCTTGAATCATCCTGATAAAGGTTGGTATATGGTAATACCTTTATATAGTGTATGTTAGTTTTCATATACAAAGTGTTTAAAATTTTTTTAAAAATTCCATAAAATGGACAACCTAAAAATTAAGACCACCATTGTGAAATGGAAAAAAAGAGCTACTGTTTAAAGGTATTATGAAATAAGAAGTACATGTAATATAAAACTCTCTAAAAATCAAAAGTGGAAAGACCTAATAAAAGTATTAATCTGCTTCCTTGCCCTTGGGCTACTAATATGTTTTGCCTTGAGAATAAAAACATTTTTTGATAGATAGAAAACATTGATTGATTGCTAGTAAATATTTTTTCCTGGTTTAGAGAGGTTAGAAGCAAGCATTTATATGTTAGACAATTCTTACGAAAAAACAAAGAAAAAGAAATATTTTGTTTAAAAGCCTGAGGTATCCTTTAGGTATAAATGATCATTGTAAAGTAGAATCTTCTTTTTTCTGATTTTCTAGACTTTTAGACAACTACTTCATGTTATCTGATTAATAAAGATGAAAAATCTTGTGATCTTTTACCCACATATTTTGGTAGATTTAGGTTATTCCGATGTTGAAATATTGATGATGACTGTGGAATCAACAGATGTTGTAGTAATGCTCTCTGCCCTGTGTTATGTAAATTTTACTGATGTTAGGCACTCATTTTGGAGCACACCATGCAAATTATTCTGGTGCTATGCTAGAATTATAATTATGTACAATAATAATGATTACAAATATAACAGTTACTGCATATTTCAAAATCATTGATATACTCTTTCAAGGGGAATAACTCTGTATCATCTATGATTCCATTTTTTTTCAGGAGGTTCTCCTTATTTAGCAGCAAAGATTAACGAAGCCAAGGACATGTTAGATGGCCATACAAAGAAATAAATCAGGATCTTTTAATCTTTACATGAAGTGGTCTTGAAGAGACCTTATTTAAACATATTGAACTATACACAAGTTGATGTTTTAAAGATTTTGAATGAATGTATTGAAAATGTGTGAATGATATTTCTTGTGACATTGTTACATGGTAATAAACTTTTTAACATATACATATGTCAGTTTAATATATAACTTGATGAAATCTTATACAAATATCTTATTCTTTCAAGTTTTTTTCCCAGGAAATTTTATATCGGTCTTGATCAAAGATTTATCAGAAGCAGTGTCAGACCATTTTTACATAACACATTAACCAAGCTGACATAGGGTCATGCCGCCCTTCTCCAAGAAATGTATACCTTACCAGAAAAAATGCAATAGATAATGAAATTATTCTAATTTTGAGCAACATTATGGACCCTCGACACTGTACACAAGTGAAAAATGTTTCTGGACATAGAGGAAAATATATAAAATTGTAAATATTGAGTTTATTCATTTTATTTTGCAACATAGGGTACCAGCCACTTACCCCCCAGGAAAACTTTTCAAAGACGATTAAGTACAGTACTGGTGAAAAGAAATCACTGTTGCTTACTTTTATGGGAAAAGTACAATTAATTTATTGAGGACTAGTTAAACTTTAAGTATGCTTGAATTGATTGAGTAGAGCACAGTAGATTTCAATTTATTTTATTTTAGATTTAAGGGCAGATCACTCCATCTGCAAAAAATACCATGGAATCAGAACTTTTCAATTTGTAGTGTATGAAGGGACATCTTGATTGCTTATGAAATGCTTTTCCAATTAAATATGAATATTAATATTTTAATTATACATATACTTCCATCTTTGCTCTATTGTGTAGTAGGAAATGAGGAAAGAAAAAAGAAAATATATGGGGCGATCGGGAATTGAACCCAGGACCTCTGTATCAGTAGTCAGGTGCTCTTCCACTGAGCTACCCAGGCCGATATCCACAGTCTATATAGCTCAAACTTTTACATTCATATGCAAGCTTAAGATGCTGTATATATTCGACTTTTGTGGTAAAGGCCAGCATATTGGCCTGTTTCTAGCTGCAGAAAACCAATCATGCTCATATCCTCTTCCAGGGTGAATATAATTAACTCAGCAAAAAAGGTATGCACCCTTCAATCTTTAGCCTGCCCCCAAGATATTGAAACAGACTTGAACATAAATCAAAATGTCAATACTATGTAAAATGTTATGGGAATTGAAACTCGAGATTTGCAGATGTAACATTCTGGTGATGCAAAAATGGAAAACATATTTGCTTGACCTCTGCACATATTTCAGTACACGCAATACATGTATACATTTTTAATTAAATTTCATGATCCTGGGCCCTGGACTTACCAAGCCCCATTCCAAATTTTTCAACCAAAGTTTAGTTTATATTTTGTATGGCAGATTGACCATGTTAAGTAACAGAATATATACTGTTCATGTAATTTTCATTCGAGAAACTGTGTCATTCATTCTAATATCAGGAAAAGGGTCACTAGGTAACCAGACCAATATTACAGAGGCTTTAGGTCAAGGCTTCCTCCTTGAACAAACAAGAACTGTACAAAGGAACACTACTAGTCTACTACTGACGAGAGAAAAATCATACCATCTGATCAACAATAATCACCATCTGGTAATTGATATACTCCGTCAAATGGAGTAAACAAAACATCCCAAACAACCTTTTCTTTAAAACATTTAATATCTCCTTAAATAATTCTTAAATATTGCATGACAATGTTTTCAATGCTGTGTACCATGTTTAATGTAAACAGGTCTAAAAAATGACCAATGACTCGCTGAGAAAAAGACATGGCATTAAAAAGAAAATGACCCCCGACAATGACAACAAATTGTAAAAATGTTACAGGAAACAATATATACAAAATAAACTGTCAGGGTTGAGTTTATGAATCCATTAATTTGTTTAGTCCTGGTCCAAATTCAGCAAGTCCTTTAGCTAAAATGTATTCATGAGATCTTGTTGCGTTTCTGTCGTTATGCCATGCGAATACTCTGTATAATCTGAAATATCGCTGCAAAAGAAGGAAAAGAAAAAAATTAAAAATGTCACTCTGAACTGTAACCAGTAAACCAGTTTAGGCAAATGTGTACTTTGATAGAACACTCAAAGATAAGACATATCTTCCAAATTTACAAACCTGAAATAAATTACACTTTTAAAAAAGTTTATAAAGAATATGTGCCAAGACTTTTCATTACTTAGTATTGCATTTCTTGAAACATGCCAGTATAAAACTGCTTTTAACATTCAGTTCCTACTGTGTATACAAATGAAAATAATAAACTCACCTGATCCACAGACAACAAAGACGAAAAGAGCTAATAACCAAGGTCCCACAGCATACTTGTCCTCTGCTGGTTTCTACATAGTAAAAAAAAGGACATTTACTACTTCTAAGTTTTCTGAAATAATGTAAACTTTTATGGACTAAATACTATAAAAGGAAAATATAAAGTTAAAAGTCTTATTCACTCTTGTGAGAAAAATTTGGAAAAAGTGTATTTATAGGCAAGCTAATATAGCCATTTCCACGCTTAGCATATGATTTCCTCCAATTTTTTCCATTTTTCAATAAAATGAATGAGTAGTTGGAAATCATGAGAGAGAGAGAGAGAGAGAGAGAGAGAGAGAGAGAGAGAGAGAGAGAGAGAGAGAGAGAGAGAGAAATGATTGCAAAAACAAAAATGTTTGCAAATTAAATGTTTGATGGAAGTGAAAAGAGGCCATAAATCTTTCATTTGACAAAAAGTGCAATATTAAAAATGGAAACTCATTACATCAACATTTTATTTTTTAAAATTCATATTCTGCATCATTTGTTTAAGTATACATAAAATATGATGGGAAATAAGTCACTATAAATCCTTAAAACTATACAAGATACAGTATCACTATCTATAACACCTGACAATATTTGAAATTAACAGTTGCCCACTCATTATTTGCAAATAATTTTCCATGTGGTTGACCTAAAATTATGTTCCTGTTGCTCACATGGAGATAAGAAAATTTACAATAAATATTTTTTTTTCTTCCAATTTTGTCCAAATATTTTGTGATAGTGATGAACAAAATGTGGCATCATTGGGGTCAGCAAATCCAAGAAACCAACACTACTGATGTTATTTGTGAATGAAAATATGCCATGTTACCCATGTACTCTACATCTTATTACTTAATAACCATTTCAACTTTCAGTTGAAAGAAAAGTTGATATGAAAGTTTTTCTAATATAAAACAAAGTTGATATGAAAGATTTTCTTATAAAAAAGAAGAAAAAAAATGGGTCGGCTTAATTCTCCTAAATTTAAGGTGTGACAATTTATGGATGAATAATTTTGATGTGGGCTCCTACAATTGCAAGGTTTAGTATCGCTTATGGCTAGCCATAGCAAAGAAAAACCCTGTGCCACATTGTTACATTTCATCATTTATGTCAATGTACAGTGATGCACATGTTGTGGTTTGTTGATTTACTCAAATGATGTCCCCATGAATTTAGATACTAACGGAGACTCTAAATAATAAAAGTTTCTTTAAGAAATCATATGTTTGAAAATAGAAGTATTTTAAACTATCGAAAGATAATATAACTATGATAACACTACAATATACAGGTACATACGTAACATTAATTGTTAGAAACATGACAAACTTAACTACAAACAATACTAAATTAATTTTCTTAAATCTTACAAATGAACAAATTGTTTATGAAATGAATTACATGTTTAAGCTTATATGAATATATTGAATGTAATTTTTTTTTTTTTACATAAAATATAGTACATATAACTTGTCTATTTGGGATGTCATTTGGGGCCAATCGGCGTGCCCGCATATGTTGAGTGATTTTCAGATTTGTTTATAACTAAAACTTTCATTTTATCTGTAATTACATGCTTCAGTCGTTAGATGAACAATATTTCTAATACATAGATGTTTGATAGTTATTTTTATACTTTGAATCATTCATGTCGGTCAAAACAAATCGCGTCAAAAGATTATGACATATGGGAGCTTCTCATGAGATAAACATAATAATTACATAAAAATTCTTACCAGTGTCTTCGGCACGTTGCCTCTTGTAGTGATGTTCTTGCTGTGCTTTTCGTTGGCTAATCTCATTCTCTGTTTAGCAGCCATTTTCTGTTAGAATGAGATTAACAACTTTAAAAACACTACTGTACACAGTATTCACCACACACGTCAATATGCCTCTTTTAAAAAGGAAGTAGTAATGCGGTCAGCGTATGTTTTAAAAATATAGATCTTAATAATTTTAATGATTGCCAATAAAATTGATTTAGACTAATGAAATAAGAATAATTACATACAATGTCAAAACCTTATGAAATATTTTACTGCATATATTTCTAGCAAACAACTATGGGTTAAAAAAAATAGTGTAAGAATATATGGACTATAAGCAATGTGACCCGGTAAAACGTGTCAGTGAGAGGTCATAACAGATTTTCGGAATTTCTCTGACTTCATTAGCAGATTAAAGGAACCCGAAAGAAAAAAATGGCGCCTCCCATAGCATGTGAGTTGCCAAAAAATATATTTTCTGTTTAAATAGCAGCAGAAAATTATAATTTATCCATATAATGCTTGAGACAAAATCTATTTCTTAAGAAATATGGACGAAAGAAACAAAAAAGTAAATAAATGGATCAAGTATTAGTAAACACCTGTTGTTACAAAGTCCTGTTTCAGTTACACCACTGGCACTGGAAGTTCATCTTGTAAATATTAACTAATTGAGTATGTGCATGTCTAAAAAAGGAACTTCCAGTGCCATGCATGAGTTACAAAGTCTAAATCACTACTGCTCAGCTGACTATTTAGTGTTACTAATAACAGAGTACTTTAAAATAACACTAAGAAAAAAGAAATGTTTGCTGATGAAAAAAATTATGTAATTCAATTTATTAGCATCATGATGTTGGCTTACAGACAAGACAACAAGTCAAATGACAAACAGCAAAAAAAAAAAAAAAAAAAAAAAAAACGACATGAATAATTAAACAAGATTTTAACAGTTAAATGATGCAGTGAAAGTCATAAACTTGATATTTTAGTAGTAGTCTCATCACCTGTTTAAAATTTAAGATGTATATTTTAACATCCAGTGAGAGGTTCTGATGGCATATGGATGGTAAATGGTCCACCAAACCTTGGATCTAGACCCAATTTTCCAGAGTGAGTCTTTACGGTTTCATTTTATACATGTGTTTGAAAAATTATGCTACACAATATTGATAGATGAAGTAAATGCATAAAAAGAAGTACGAGTCAAAATTTTGGAAAGAAATTAAAATGACATGAATATTTACTTTTTCAGAGATAAGAGTAAATGGTGCAAAGTGCTTGCATTCAGTCCTGATGGTTCTCTAATGAGCTGGTGTAATGGAGAGAAGTCAGTGACAATTGTGGAATAAAGAGCATCTCAATTCTAATCCAGACTTGAATAAAATAATTAATTGCAATAAAAAATCATTTTTTATGCATTCACAATATTTAGCTTTGTTAATATTCTTAAAGCAGAGTAAAAAAAAAAGAAGAGATTTTATTTTTATGTTCCTTGGATTTAAAAACAGCATTAGAAATCTTAATCATCAATGTTTCATCACACCTAACATGCTTTGTTTGTAGAACATTAGTACTGAGAACATCTGATTTCAAACAGTTAGCACAGATTGATAAAGCAAAAGTCAATTGTCTGAAATTCTCTCCCAAAGGAATGATACTTGCGCTATGGGAGAACTACACTGGTAAATATACGAATCTACAGGTTCTATCAAAGAATATTTTATAAGTATAACTACAAAACAATTCTGACTTTCATTGAACTAATCCACTTCTTCTATGTTTGCTCAATATATATTTAGATTGAAATAATTTTATGTAACAATTTATTTTGAATTGTCACTGACACTTCCTGTAAGTATTCCTCTGAAATATGTGACAGTGAGAAAAAGAAAGAAGAAATGAACTAAAGCAAAACACTGGAAAATTACTTTATTAATCTGATTTCAGTGAACAAAGAAACGAACCAGGGGAACCCCAATCTCCACCTGTATAATGCACAGACAGGGGACCTTATCAAAAGTCTGATGCAGAAGAAACAAAGCAACTGGTATATATACAATACATTGTCTTAAAAACAACATTAAACAGAGCAACTGGTATATATACATTAGATTGTCATTTAAAAAAAATTAAACACATGTAAAATGCACAGACAGGGGACCTTATCAAAAGTCTGATTCAGAAGAAACAGAGCAACTGTATATATATATATATATATATATATACACAGTTAAACTTCGTTATCTCGAAGTTGACGGGACCGTTGATGAACTTCGAGATATCCGGGGGTTCGACATATCGAGGGTTATAATTCAAATGAACTTCATATAAACTTAGTGCAGTGAACATGTACTTAATAGTAAAAACATGTCAAATTCCTTCTCGTTTGAAATTCTGTATACGATTTCTTTAATAAACATGTACATGTATTTAACAATAAAAAGATTTTTGCATCCTCTTTATAATTTACAAAATAAAAAAAAACTTTGTATAATATGCAGAGAAGTATGATCTTTCTACCAACGCGGCATGTCAACCGCTAGCATCATTTCCCATGTATACATAACCGGATATCGTCTACTCATTGTAACTTTAAAACCGGTCGCTGTCAGAATAACGGAAACGAAATATATACATTTTCTTTTTATAAGAAAAACATGTTCATACATGTAAAATCAGTTAAAAGAAAATTATTTTACCATAATTAAATCAAAAGCAAAAGAAAAATCATGCACTTTTGTCTAACAACAGAACAACACTGAATCACAGGACACTATAGCACAAGTTTTTACTGCGACACACGCTCACATGATGGTGTGTATGGACGATTGTAAATTCTGCACGCTCATGTAGGAAAAATAAATTCTAATTGCATTAATTAAATTACAGAATTTTGTTTTACTTCGATGTTTATGATTTTCACTTTCATATGGATAAACTATGTATGCGCGCATATTTCACATAGCATTAAATAGCGATTATCAAGATAAACGTACCCAAGCCACAAAACAACGTGTCATCCACGCGTATGCATTAGACCAATATACACAACCTTGGCTTGCATAATTAAAATCAGGGTAAGCCATACATACACTTCGTATAATTATCGCGCTATTATTTGTTGATCACAGGAACACAGGTAATCCGTGCGTGACAGACAGGTGGGTGTTATCAATAGAGCGTCCAGTTTACCGAACGGACTTGATCATCAGTGCGGAAAATTATCCTGACTTCGAGATAACGCATGTGATTTTAATGAATGAGTACACAATTTTACTTCGAGATAACCGGGGTATTCGACATTACCGTGTTCGACATAGAGAGGTTTATTTTAATCATTTATATAGCAAATTTCGTCGGGACCGCGGCCTAGCTTCGACATATCCGGGGTATTCGAGATATCCGTGTTCGAGATTTCGAAGTTTAGCTGTATTATATATATATAGAGAGAGAGAGAGAGAGGGAGAGAGAGAGAGCTGAATTTACCATATAGTTTATTTTGAATTGTATGACAGAAATGCAAATGTTCATGTTTAAGTACAAGCATTTTTTGAAATGTTTTATCAATAGAGGCACAGTAAGAATTCATCAGATCTTTGAAACAAAGGAAAAGCATGTAATAATTTATAATAATTTGCTTATGACTTACTTGTATGTGGTGTGACTTGAGTTTTTTAAGAGAAAAACACAGAATTTATTTGCAAGACAAAATTTTTGTGTATCATCCACTTGGCAAATAATAGTTGGTACTTCCAAAGAGAACTTTATTTTTATATCAAAACAATCACACAAAGTTAGGCTTAAATATACATCTTAATTTTTTACGTCAAAACAGTCTTATAAAATGATGTATAGATTTACATGTATTTCTGTGGAACAAGGTATGATTAACAACAGTATGTAACAAAAGAATATTAATACATAGATGGAAATACAGTAAAAAATGCTTACAAAGAAGTGCCAGGGAAAAGACGATTTTGCGTCATTATAAGCGTAATTTGTTATATATGTTAAGTTCACAATATATTTTAAAGCCATGGATATGAAAATCATTTCGCTGTAAGCGTCAATTCATTATAAGCATTTTTGCTATAAGAGTGTTTTACTGTATGTGTATTTGAATGTAGGGATCCCAAGTGGACAGATGATGAAGGAATCTGCTGTAGAAATGTCAACAATGAACTTCACTTCTTTGAAGGGAATGAATTTGGTATTTTACTTATATGTTTATTTCTCAAGAATATTTTGAATTTACAGAGTCAAATTCATAATTCATGAATTCTTTTAAGAGTACTTGAATATAATCTGTGTTTCATACGATTTTAGCAGAATTTTGTGAGATGAGGAAAATTTCATTATGGAGATTATTAAGATAATGGGCTAAAAAAACCTGAGTATTGTACATACATGTACTTATTTCTTTTTATTCATTTACATGAAATGTAAAATGTCAATGATAAACATGTACTGAAAATAGTAAGCAAAAAAAAAAAATTCAATAATTCTGCTGGCAAAAAACTGAACATTTTTGTTGGATTTCTGTCAAAAGTGCAGAGAGATTTGAAAAAAAAAAAAAAATTGGTCTTGCCAGATGGTTCAATTTAAAAATTTGCAAATTTACAAATTTGGGTAATATATCTTAAAAACAATGTATATGTATAAGCCTTCATGTTTAATTAAGGAGTTTTACATATAATTCTTTATGTACATTATTTATAGATGCCATCAAAACAAAGTTACACATACAGAAAGTGTCAACCTTTGCCCTCGCAGTGAGTGGCCCCCCATACCACATAGCAGGATATGTCCCTGGGTCAAAGGTAAGTACATGTACATCCCAGTGAGTGGTCTACCATACCAAATAGCAGGATAAATGCCTGGGTCAAAGGTGGTTAAAATTTCTCTTGAAAAACCCTGGCAAGTTTTCAAAAGTCCAAGGAATGGATTTTTTAATATGGGGTTACAGTATACAGTAGGGCATCATTATTCTGGATGCTTGTGTTACCAAGCAAATAGTCCAGATTAATGAAGCCTCTCCGGATTACTGAAATGTACCTTTTATAATTGGTAGGCATAAATGTAAATTTTGTCTGGAAGGTGAAGTGTCTGGAATATTGGTGTCCAGAATAACAAGGCTTCACTGTATAAGATATTAATACATATATCTGTTAATATCTGTAAATATAGGTATGAATTTAGGAAAATTATTGAATTTCAAAATACATATTTTAATTACTGAATATGGCATATCACTTGATGATTATAAAGAAATCATATTTGTCCTCGATATACATTCACTACTAGTATTTACCTTGTATAATGCATTTCAGTTGTTCTTGGTGATTCTCTACAAGTGTTTTACTGTGTAGATATAAATGAATAAAAAAAATATTCCAATTATTTCTACCTTTGTTTAATTTCAGGGCCAACCATCTTTTGTTAGAATTTACAGATATCCAAATTTTGCGGGGCCTCAGGCAGCTCTAGCAAATAAAAGCTTCTTTAAAGCGGATGACGTTCAGATGAAGTGGAACAAAGCTGGGTCTGCCCTCTTGGTTCTCACTTCCACAGAGTCGTCTGATAAGAGTTACTATGGCGACCAGGGCCTTCATTTCATGGCAACTAATGGAGAATGTAGTCTTGTCAATCTGTGTAAGGTTACTGTTTTAATTCAGATTGAAATTCCTAAATGAAATTGTAAACTTGGAAAAAATGTAGATTTTTACTTAAGAATTCAAATACATGTACAGTTTTGACTGTTTGTCAGTTAAAAATGAAATATCATATAGGCACAATTTTTAGCAAGGATTCAAAAATAGCATTTTAGTGAGGGTCTTGAGATCTCTAAAATTGAATATCACTAACAATTCATTCCATATTGGTGGTGAACAGAAAATGTCAGAAAATGGCTAAAATTACTCCTTGTTAAAATTAAATATTGATTTTTTTTTATGGACAAATTGCTAAATTTGCATCTCTTTAACAATTCCACTCATACATTAGGTTATCAGTTCAGAGAATCTGAGTATGAATTTTGATAAAAATTTCCAAATCTATTTCATAGTAATGAATAAAAGTTATTTTTTAAAGAAATGTGTTTAAAGTAAATGTTTATTTATACCTTTATTTCATTACAGCAAAGAATGGTCCAATATATCACATTGAATGGAGCCCCCGCTCTACAGAATTTGTTGTTGTTTATGGATGTATCCTTCTATCAGTTCTATATTGATTTGTTGTCAATTTAAAGCTTCTTTTACCCTGTCAGAATGTGTTGTCCTTAACTGTCAGTTATGCCGGCCAAGGTGAGCTTATTTAATCTGAAAGCAGAGCCTATCTTTGACTTTGGAACAGGTCCTAGGAATTTGGCCTACTTCAACCCACATGGAAATAATATCCTTTATTGTCTAGTCCACATCCTTTGATCTAGTTTGATTGCTCTCTCATGAATAAATTCATTTTTTTTTTAAAGTTTGTAGTATCACCTTAGCTTTTCTGATCAATGATTGTATGAATAAGTGCATATCATTAAGTACGAGGGATTATCAGAACGTTTATGGACAGGCACCATAAAATTAAAACTGCTTAAGGTATGTCAATGAATTTGTGTCCCCTACTTTCGTGAAAGCAAGGGGACATTAAGCATTCCTCTGTCAATCTGTAAGTCTGTCCATCTGACAGTCTGTCACGAAAACTTAATTTTGGTCATAAATCTTGGTCATTATTTCCGCTAACTTTTAAAAGAGAGAAGATAGGGCATTCAGTTTTGACCTTTGCATTACCTGTGATGAGACATTACCACACTACTTTGATTTTTTAACACCATGACCTTGACCTCGAAATTTGACCTAATTTTCAAAAAAGATAACATTGCTGAAATTTAGAGTCATGTTTGCTCAAATCAAGGCCGCTGAAGCTAGGAACCTACTACAGTAGGAGGATAAAGTTACAGAGAAATATCTATATAAAAAGCTTTTCCATGGAATAGCAGGACCATCATTAGTCATTCAATCATAAAGCATCCTTATGAAGTGTAAATACAGATTTTTTCAAATCATGGCCCTTGGGCAAGGAAGGGGCTACAAAAGAGGATCAGTGATAATGAACTTGTACTTTTTATCTTTGATAAATTGTTTTTGTTATTTGAATTTACTCACAAATGCAATGGAATGAAGAAAATGGTGTAATAGTTTTAAAAAAAGAAATTATCTTACAACAGGTAATTTTGTGTGGAAAAATGCACATAACTCATTTGTGTAAAACTTGTGACTCCTTATCTACTGATATAAACAAAAATGGGATTTAGTGAAAATTTTTATCAAGATTTGCTTTGAAATTTATTCAATGTCTTATTTACATGTACACACCATATTTAATTGTTCATCTATTCAGTGAATTTTTAAATTTTGAGAATGTTTTCCTTATGTAACTTACTTCTATGTTTGGCTGGCTTTGGAAATCTTCGTGGGAACCTGGAATTCTGGGATATGAGATCTAGAAAGTTGATGTCACAGACCCAGTCCCCGGATACAACTAGTTTTGAGTGGTGCCCTGATGGGGAACATATTCTTACAGCCACCACGTCACCAAGGTTACGTGTTGCTAATGGGTAAGTACATGTAATTAAGTTCAAAATTTCCTTCACTGAATGAAAAAAAAATCTGGTAATCTGTTTCTGAAAAAATTAACTTTTTGTAAACAGTAAAGTATTCTGCAAAGGAGATAATCCATCAAATGAAACAACTTTGATGTGTTCCGATTGTGTATGGAATAAAATTGCTCAGCATGATTTATGATCAAGAACTACTTGCATTCAAAATTGTATCCACTAGTTAATTTGGCTAGATACCGTGTTTCGTACTGCTTTGGTAATTTAATTTGATTAGATACCGGGTCTGGCATTGTTCTGGTAAAATGCTGCAGCAGGTTTTGGTTGACAAGGAAAAGGAATTATGGGAAGCGGTATGGCAGCCGGCAGCAGAGGGTGTCTATCCTATGCCTGCTGTTACAGCGGGCAGCGTAACTGCAGCCGCCGCACAGTCTCCTCCTGAACGTAAGTCACAAACGTCATAAACAGTGTATAAATTATAACACTGAAGTCATAGATGGTGTTACTTCAGAAAAGAAAATATTTTTTTAATGTCCCACAATTAAGAGGCAGAATTGGTATTAAAGACCTTGATATTGGCCTTATTTAATGAATTCAGTGTTTCATGGTAATTCAGTCAACAGTGTGTTTTGTTTCAAATGAATTTAACAGTTTTTCATTTTGCAGCAAAAGTGCAAGCCTACCGGCCCCCACAGGCAAGAGGGACATCTGCATCTATAAAACTTCATGAATATGAAGCGCCTTCTGATCCAAATAAAAAAGTCTCACAAGGTAAGATTGTCAGAACCATTTAAGTCAGTATAACTGGAGAATGGTAGAAATCAATCAAGCCAGTTCTCTTTGGACCAGATTATGATGTGTTTTAGAAAGGATATATATACACAGTATATATATGATATGTACATGTATGTAAAATTCAGTTCACAGAATTTTATTGTCCTCATCTCATCAACAGATCCCAACAAACCTCTGACAAAGAATCAAAAGAAGAGAGAGGCCAAGAAAGCTAAAGCACAGCAGGATGGACAGGTAAATTCAGAGTTACTTCCCTTCAGTTGCTCTGCTTTAAATGGCAGGTACATTCAGAGTTACTCTACATAGGCAGGTACATGTACATCCAGAGTTACTCTACATAGGCAGGTACATGTACATTCAGAGTTACTCTACATAGGCAGGAACATGTACATTCAGAGTTACTCTACATAGGCAGGAACATGTACATTCAGAGTTACTCTACAAAGACAGGTACATGTACATTCAGAGTTACTCTACATAGGCAGGTACATGTACATTCAGAGTTACTCTACTTAGGCAGGAACATGTACATTCAGAGTTACTCTACATAGGCAGGTACAGGTACATTCAGAGTTACTCTACAAAGACAGGTACAGGTACATTCAGAGTTACTCTACATAGGCAGGAACATGTACATTCAGAGTTACTCTACATAGGCAGGAACATGTACATTCAGAGTAACTCTACATAGGCAGGAACATGTACATTCAGAGTAACTCTACATAGGCAGGAACATGTACATTCAGAGTAACTCTACATAGGCAGGGACATGTACAGTCAGCGTTACTGTACAAAGGCAGGTACAGGAACATTCAGAGTTGCTCTAGGCCAAGAAAGCTAAAGTACAGCAGGATGGACAGGTAAATTCAGAGTTACTCCCCTTCAGTTACTCTACTTTAAATGGCAATTACATTCAGAGTTACCCTACTTAGGCAGGTACATGTACAGTCGGGAGTTACTGTACTCTACATAGGCAGGTATATGAACAGTCAGCGTTACTGTATGTAGACAGGTACATGTACATTCAGAGTTACTCTACTTAGGCAGGTACATGTACAGTCAGCGTTACTGTATATAGACAGGTACATGTACATTCAGAGTTACTCTACTTAGGCAGGTACATGTACATTCAGAGTTACTGTACTCTACATAGGCAGGTACACTAAGAATTAATTGTCCTAATTATCCTAATTAAAGCTATCATAGTTGTGACCACACCCTAGCCCTGGGTTTGTAATTAAACAAAATTTAATATACTCTTGATAGGGACTTTTTGCATATCAGTTTGACTCAATATGGATTTGTTACCTAGGGGAAGATTCAAAAAAAGAATTTCCTATATTTTTTTTTTTTATATCAAACCTTGACTCCAATGTAATCATCAGGGGAACAAAATTGAAATTACATGTGAAAAATTTTACAAATTGGCAGAACATTTATTATCATTATCAATGGCATGATGTTTGTTTCCTAAATGCTCAGGAGTAAAGAAAATTTTCAAAAATCCAATGCTTGTTGCGTGATTCTAGAGTTCCAGTCACAGACAGGGCTTTGTTGATCACAGCCTGAGAAAGCAGTGCATCAGAGGTGACCACCAAGGCCTAGGGTCATCTTGTTTAATATGTTTCCTGAAAAGTTCTTCTGATTATCAAATTCCTTATTCTGTATAAACACAGGTCAGACCAGAGTCCTCGCCATCAGCTTCCTCCAGTGTGTCACAGCCTGCTGATTTCACGTCCTCGGGGGATAGAGAAAAGGACAAGAGAATCAGGAATCTCAAAAAGGTAAAAAAAAAAAATGTCTGATTTTTTTCTAAAGGTAATAAGTTAAGAAAAAATCAAGCCAGAACAATATATTACAAAGTGCAGATTTATTATTCCAAGAGGAAATTTCAAAGTATAAATGCATTAATAATACACAGATTAAATTTACATGTATATAAATGTATTTTAAAATGTGAAATTTTGTTGATATTGTAGAAGATTCAACAAGTAGAAAAATTAAAAGAACAACAAAGATCTGGAAAACAATTGGAGCTTAATCAGGTTTGATATATCTGTTAATTCTAAGTCCAACATTTTGTAATATCTGTATTGAGTGAGAAAAACCATGTTTGAGATTTTTATGTAACTTTTTCTTCTCAAAGTAACCACATTCAAAATGGTAAGGCAAAATATTTGTAAACAATATGAGGGATTGAAAGAGATTGAAAATTTGAAAGACAAATACTTCTTTAAGGTCTAACCACAAGTTCCTTGATTATTTTTGTATCCCAGTAAGGTAAAAGGTGAAGATAATGATCAGTGAGATCAGTCTCATAAAGTCCTACATGTCAACTCTACTGCTTGACATGAAAGTCTACTGTATGTATTTGCATTTTTGCTCCATCTCTGACCGACCGTTTTATTCAAATATCTATTTTTGGTTTCCTTGGGTAGCTGTTTTGGAAGCCACTCAATTAATATCATACTAAATCTTGTTGGATTTTAATATAACATGAGTTATTAATTGAATTGGGAGCATACAAACACTTTTTCATACCAATTTCAAGATGGATTTCAAACACAGTGTTTGACAATGAGAGGTGCACACGTTTCCATGATTACATTGGTTACAATAAATTTATTGCCATCTTCACCAAGAATAATGAAAATAATGCTATCTAGATTCAGGATGAAAACTTTTGCCTTTGTTCATAAAAGATTAAAAGGGAATCTGTTTTCATTCTATACTATTTTGTAACTTTTCTCTCACTTTCCATCCTTGTGGGAAATACAAATCTTGTTTCAAGAAATAAAACTTGTTTTAGATCTGAACCATGACATATGCTCTGTTTGGCTACTAAATGAAGTATGAAAAGTATTGTTTCCAGGCTACACCAACATCATTCTTCAAAAGATTAAAGCAGCCACTAAAGGCTATTGTGATTAGAATGAAAAATAGTTCTTTTTTTTGGAATGGTGTTTTTTCTACAACATTGCAGTTGATACTAATTTTAATTATTACAGTTGTCATCAGAGGCCATATTTACATGTTTAAAAATCCAAAAGTAAAACACAGTTAGCAATGCTACCTCCTAGGCTCCTTTAAGTTCAGAGTATATTACAGAAATACCATCCTGAAATCTTACATAAATGTCTGGTTAATGTACCTCCAATTTTTGTGAAGAAATTTATTAAGGGAGCAGTTCTTGAATCACAAATATATATAATTGAGGAACATGTTCTCTGACTTTAATTTTAATTGAGTAGGTAAGGTACTTTAATTTAAGGTAGATTTATGATAATAACAACCAGATTTAGATTTATGGACCTTTTTTTGAAAAAGGGGTAAAAGTATTTGGTTGTTTACATGTATGCAGTAAATAATGAAAATCTCATATTTTCAGATTGAAAAAATTAAAACAGAGGATTCTCTTCTTAAAGAGTTAGCTGCCCTTGAAGTCAGCTGATGCAGTCATTTTAGGAGTCTATGACTACCTCTGAGAACTTATATATTTCAATGGCAGTCTACATTGGCAGTATGATGTAGTCATGTGACCCATTGTTTCTGATTAGAATTGTGTTAAAATGAACTTGTATGGATCTGGAAATAATTGATTTGAGAGATTTTTCTGAGAGGTACAATGGTATTGTAAAGTGCTAAGTCTCTGCCAGACTGTGATATTCTTTAGTTTACAATGATTGAAGAATGTAAATGTACAGTAGATAGAAAGAGGTCAAGAGAAATTATTGTTAACCTTTCTAAAAGATAATTTGTTCATCAATTTCTTAAATGAAATGAGAATTTTTTTTTATTTAATGAAGCTGCCTATGGTTGTTTATGTTTGTGAAATTAGACCATGTTTGATTGTTTGTGAATTTTTTTTCCATCTATAATGTTTAATCAAGCTCAAGCAAGTTATTAAAAAGTTGGAGTCTGTTGCTATTGATTTTGTGTCATTAATGGAGCAATTTCAGATGACATCCTGAAATCAAATGTCCTGTTAACATGTATATTAGTTAAATTTTTATTTTGCAAGAAACTAATGCATAGTAATAAAATTCAAATTAAACTAGCACTAATTGTGCAAGGGAACCGTTACAAATGTTCCCCATATGGCTCCCCTACTCCCTTATGGTGCCCCATTCCCTACAAGCTTTGAAATACGAATAAGGCAATATTTTTGTATGATAAAACTTTACATATTTGCCGAAGTACAATTTTCGAATCATGGCGCAGTTTACCGTATGAATATTAGCCAATCAGATTTCTGTTCATGCGAATGCATTTGTTTTCAAGAATTGTCATGTATATAATCTTGAAAGACTACATTTAAATTTCAAAGAATTTAATGAAAAAATTATTCTATTCCATCAGTCGAAATATTTACCAATCAGAAATTAGTACATAATATGAATTTACTTGTATCAGCTGGCTAAAACAGCTGTCAAAAGGCTAATGCTATGGCTACTTGTGCGATGTGCATCAACTTTTTGGAATATGGGCCGTATCTCAAGAACGCCTTTGTCAATTTTTGTCGAATTTGTGACAGAGTATCCTTAGATCAAGAGCTTTCACTTGTACTAAAAGTAGGAATCTGACCTTTTATCAACGGGAGATAAATTAGCGAAATAAAAAAAAAGTAGTGGTTGCTAAAAAAATCTTAAGAATACTGGGCAGATAAAAAAAATGAAAACATTGTGTATTAAGTTTGACTATTCCTTAGGAAGTCCCCCAGCTATTAATTATGTTCAATGTTATAGCTTCCAGCAGATTCTTTTATAAACCAAACCGCTCTTTCTTCCTTTGATACAATGTTCTTTAATTCTCGTTGTTGTTTTCACTATATTGACATTACACTCCATGTATAACCAGCCATCAAGAAATGCTCACCCCTGCCTCCTCGGCAAGGTGACGCAGTGATGAATCATTTATATTTCATTTATTTATTTATTAAAAAAATTATAGGTATTTATTTCAAGTCGAAATAATACAAACAAGAGGCCCAAGGCCACATCGCTCACCTGAGCACTTTGGCTAGGAAAAACAGAAGGCGGTTAAGTATTGAAAAATTTTAAATATAAAAGTGAGGGGGTGTTATGATTTGAACAAACTTGAATCTACACTTTCTAAGGATGCTTTTGAATTAATATGACACATAATGGCTTTGCTGTTAACCCTCTGTTCACTCAAATGAAATGTTTCTCTAACGCTTATGATTTTCCAAAATAAAAATATTTTACAAGTAAATTGCGTCCAATTTTGGCATAGCTTGCGGGGCAAAATTGGACAAAAAGGCATTTAAACTTGACAAATTTATAAAGGAAGAATAGACATTCATCCAATTAAGAGTTATCTCTCTTATCAGAGTATCATTGATCCTTAAGAAGAAAAGTTTTATTGATTTATCCTTTATATTCCTATTTTATAACTATGATCCCCTGTTATGGCCCCTCTATTCTCCTGGGGGTCATGATTTAAACAAATTTGAATATACATTACCTGAGGATGTTTTTATATTATTATGAATAATCATGGCTTTGCTGTTCTTGAGAAGAATTCTTAAGATTTTCTCTATGTATTCCTATGTAAAACTTTAATCACCCTTTGTGACCCCACCCTACCCTTGGGGGTCATGATTTGAACAAACTTGATTCTATGTATACACTACCTGAGGATGCTTCCATAGAAATATGACTTTTTCCTATGTATTCCTATGTAAACTTTGATTGCCCATTGTGGCCCCACCCTACCCCCGTGGGTCATGATTTGAACAAATTTGAATCTACCTCACAATGATTCCACATAGTTTCATATAGTTCAGCACAGTGATTCTCGAGAAGATTTTTAAATGCTATTAATTTTTCACAAATTCATAATTATTTCCCCTTGGAAGAAAAAAATTGAATCCCCTTTACCCAATGATAATTTGTGGCAAGTTTGGTTGAAATTGGCCCAGTAGTTCTTGAGTAGAAGATGAAAATGTGAGAAGTTTACGACGACGGACAAATTTCGATCAGAAAAGCTCACTTTCAGCGTTTGGCTCAGGTGAGCTAATGAGAAAAATAGTAAAATCTTTCAATTTCATCACCAAGTAATAATTCAAATCATAGATTTTTACGAAGATTCAAAACCAGAATTATTGTAGATACATCTAGACTCAAAGGCGTAAAACAATGTCTATTAAAAACTAAATGTATACACCCAAAGTTTAACTAAATGGGACGACCAAAAATAAGAAAAACTAGAACCTTGTTGCCATGGCAACAAGAAGGTCTTCCGTCCCTTCTTTGTCATAAGAGAAGTTGCTTTCTCACTAAACAATATTTGTTATGTTTTACATTCCCTTTGACACCTTCACACATAAAATATGATTAAACGTTTATATTGTGAAAATTTATTTTTAGTAACCATATAGCAAAACCGTTCATTGAAATCAAGAACCGATAAGCAGAATTATGTCTCTTTGTGTAGTGTACATATTTGCCAAGTTTAACTGAAATCAGACCAAAACTGTAGGAGGAGTAGCGTTTGAAAGTATTTCACAGAAATTTCTATTTTTAGTAACCATGGCAACATCGTTCATGAAAATCGAAAACCGATAAATAGAATTATGTTTCTTAGTGTAGTCTACTTGTGTGCCAAGTTATACCAAAATCAGAGTAAAACTGTAGGAGTAGTGTTTTGGAAGTATATCACAGAAATTTCTATTTTTCGTCACCATGACGACACCGTTCATCGAAATCAAAAACCGTTAGACAGAATTATGTATCTTAGTGTAGTCTACTTTGTGCCAAGTTATATTTAAATCAGACGAAAACTGTAGGAGGAGTAGCATTTTGAAAAATCGTTTAGAGACAGACAGACGGACGGACGACTGACACCTTATTATCGCATATGCTCTTCTGTCTCTCCGAGTCAGCACCACTCACACATAAGAAACTGATTGACAATTCACTGATGTATTTCGTGAAAGCATATTTTTTTCACATAATGTTCGAGTAGTTTTATTTTGTAAATACACTGTTTATCATTAATTGACATTACCTTTTATGCTTAGCCGCTTTGAGCTCTTAATTATGATGGATCTTGCTCTAAACTAAATGTCATTAAGTTCTTTTTCTCATTTGAAATTGCTTTATGTAATTCTATTAATAATCATCATGAGAAAATAATAAATTCTACAAAAAACAAGTTGGCAAGTCTTCAATTTGTGATACAATTGCATATGTACCTAGCTACATATACATGTGTACCTCATTTATATATATATCACAACTGCATATACATGTATGCATTAGTGCAAATGTCAACTGCAAACACTTTATGAAGGACTAAAAAGACACGCCGTTAATGTGACGTCAAACACCGCTGCTCTGATGTCGAAGGACATAGCCCCCCCCCCCCCCATTTAAGAAAAAAATTATATTTTGGGCCCCCGAAAAGTGAGTAAACACTCGGACATCCTGGGGATTGAATCCTGGTCGCCTGCGTGAAAATTCAACGCACTTACCATTACGCTATCGAAGACCATCGCTTAAAATTGAAAAATGATAAATATTTAGAGTCTGGGTTAATCAATTTTTTAATAAATTACATAATTAGCATTCTGGTAAGACTCTCTGTTAAACCTGTAAATATCATAGAAAAATAATGAAAAACAAAAAAGTTCAAAAAATTGCCTTTTTTAAATCACTTCCTGTGACGACCGGAAGTGGCGACGACACACGAAATGTTTCGATCACACATCTAGAAACGACATTCTATCATACCTGAAAGTTTCAGACTCCTACCTTTAACAGTTTCTGAGAACATTCACGGACTAGATTTTTAGTGGAAAAAGTGAAAAATCGTAATAATTCCTGACCGGAAGTAATTTTTTCCAAACTTTTTCAATATTTCAAAATGGCATGAGATAACACATCATTCCTGAAAATTTGGCTGAAAATGATTGAGTAGTTTTTGAGATATCGCGATTTGAAAAGGTCAGAAAAATAAAAATGAAAAATAATAATAATAATAATAATAATAATAATAATAATAATAATAATAATAATAATAAGAAACAGTAGAATCACTATAAGGTCTTCCGTGAAGACGGAAGACCTTAATAATAGAAAACAGACGGAAAACAATAAGGTCTTCCGAAGGAAGTCGGAAGACCTTAATAAAAAGGGACGGACTGCGTGAGAAAACGTTAACACTGTTCCCTAATGAAAATGTATTAATGGACTGTAGCCCGATTCATCGATATTGTGAGCACGCTGAATTTTTTGAAAATAGCTTTGTTGTAAGCTTAAAAGATCGGGTTCGGATTTTAACATTTCTGACTGAATATCCTGAAATAAATATGAAACATTTAAATAAGCATTTCTTTGGGTTAAATTAAATATGTGTAGCACAAATTAAACTCCCAACATGCATTTTTAGAAGGGAAACACGACAATGAAAGCGAGAATTGTTTTTAATATACCGAAAATCGCTATTTCTGGAAACTGATTAATTCTAAATAAAAATCAAATAAATTCCAAATGTAAAAGAAAGAGAGAATGCTTGGTACTAAAATGTCGTATCATATCAGGAAAATCGAATGCTACTAACGACATCTGAAGAAATAGCCGACAAAAGGTTTAGTTCATTTCTTCGTTCACCTGCACTTTAATTTCAAACACAACAGAACTTGTAGTTTTTGCCGTGAAACTTCATGACTTCTATAAACTTATAAGACTCATCGTAAAACTCTCAAGAAAGTTTCTCTGAGGTCTATACTACAAATGTACCAAATATGTTGTCGATCCGAGGTCTGGTTTGAATTTTACAGAAATATTCTACGTTGTTGTTGATGTGATTTTTTTTAAGAAGGGGGGGGGGGGGAATGAATTATTTATTTTATGCCTCTTTTAAACTAAGAATTGTAACTACTTTCACATCTTTAAGCCTG